GCAGCGTCCGGTTGATCGTGATGCGAGCGCTCACGTCCGGGCGGCTCAAAGATAACTCTGCTGCAGCGTGCTGGGTTTTCGAACGTGAGCGAAGCGCACGTTCCAGCGCTTCAAAGATAACTGCTTACAGCGTCCGGTCGATCGTGATGCGAGCTTCCACGTCCCGGCACTCAAAGATAACCCTGCTGCAGCGTCCGGTTGATGTGATTCGAGCGCTCACGTCCGGCGCTTCAAAGATAATCTGCTGCAGCGTCTGGTCGAACTTGATGCGTCGCTCAGGTTCCCGGCGCTCAAAGATAACTCTGCTGCAGCGTCGGGTTTTGAACGTGAATGCGAGCGCTCACGTTCCAGCGCTCAAAGATAAACCATGCTACAGGTCGTTTTTGATCGTTGATGCGAGCGCCACTTCCCGGCGCTCAAAGATAACCTGCTGCAGCGTCGGGCCCGGTTTGATCGTGATGCGAGCGCTCAGTCCCGGCGCTCAAATAACTCTGGCTGCAGGTGCCGGTTCGATCGTGATGCGAGCGCTCTCGTCCGGCGCTCAAAGGATAACTCTTTTTGCTTACAGCGTCTGGCTTGAAGTGATGGAGCGCTCACGTTCCCAGGCTCAAAGATGCCCAGCGGACGCAGCCTGGTGAAGCGACGTGCGAGAGGCTCGCCTCATGCTCTCAGGCCTGCGCGTGCGTCTGCTATTCCCACGCAGGCGCTTTTTGGGGGATTATTGCGCGCGATCAAGCGCGCGCGCTCTACAGACATCTCTCCGTGGCCTAGGGCACCCAAACAAGCTTTAATCCTAAAACTTCTAACATGCTTTTTCCTCATGGTCTCTCCAAGGTGAAATGAGCTTGTCGCGAAAGTTCACTGTGGTAGACCCGGCTGCTGCTTGCCAGACCTACAATGCTGCTTCATCCTCGACTCTCATACCAGCAACGCCCCATCTCTAATCAACCATAACCCACCTGGACAGCATAGTTAAAAGCGGGAGATGCCCCACCTCCCGGCATTCTGAAGTCTGCAAGCTCCGCCGCCCCACCTCCTCCTTTCTTCATCGAAGCGTGCTTGTTCTGCCTCTGCCGTCACCAGTGGCCTAGGCCCCCGGGGGGATTATGCGGCGATCAAGGCGCCGCGCTCAACAGCATCTTCTCCGGGCCTTAGGGCGCCACACATGCTTAATCTAACTTCTAACTGCTTTTCCCTCATGGGTCTCTCCAAGGTGAGTGGTTCTGGTTGTTGCAATAGCTCGACCATAGACGAATTTTCATTGGCTGGTTTGTGTGCTGCAAATGTCTGTGTCAATAGATCATCAGATGTCCGAAGCTAGGGACAAACAAACAAAAGAAGAATCATGTGTATCTCTTCATTTATCACTCATCAATGGCATGATTTCATTAATATAAACATCATCCCGGTTTTTCTCTTTCTGGGCTAAGGTCCTCAGATTCCCCTGAGGTGAGTCTCAGTCGTATCAGGTCAGGTCATATTTGAGAGATGTCATCTTGGCCATCAGTAGGGTCCAAGCCATGGTTCTGGTCACTCTGTTGGCCACATGGATCTCCAGATACAGTCTTTTCACTTGAAGGCACATCAGGTAATTTGCGATGGCACTTTTGGTCAATGGGCAGTGGTCACAGGTTCTGTACACAGCTCAGATCGATCAGTCAGATCAGGGTTCACTTTATTTGCCATTAGCAGTAAAACCACATTGGAAAAAACTGTGCAAGATACCCGGTGTGCACCAGACACACACCAGAGCTCTTGCCATGGCGCCATCCTTTACGGCGCCATGCTTTGGTATTGAGGAGTTTACTCTATAAGGTTAGTCATTTTGGATTAATACTGTAACACAATTTCTATTCAAGCTGTTGTTGGTCCCACAGACAAATGCAAGCGCAATTACTTCTCTAATTTGTTTTGTTTTTTTCAGATGTAATCCTAGTCAATGTAATTACTTCACACATTACATAATCAACAAATAAAAATGTGTCGTACAGTCGTCTATTAAGTCCATGACAATATTAGAATTCAAATGAAATTTCTGGTCTCAAAAAAACACAGATTCAAATAAAGATTCAAGTGAATACAAATTAAAAATATTTGGTTTACATTGGAGTAAACTTTTACCTGATTTTTTCTCATATTCTGCTTTTTCATGTATCTATATGTAAAGGTGAATGGTGTGAATTTATGATGTGTGTGTGTGTGTTTGTGTGTATGATAGGGTGTGAATTTTGGGGTTGTGTCTCAGAACTCCTCGAAACCCCTGCATTAGTAGGTCACACTGGTCGATGGTAAACAAGCAACTAGTGGGCCACATTCAGATTGCAATATACACAAACTCACCCACCTGCCTACAGATAACCCACTTTGTGGCCCCGGTCTCTCTGCCACCTGACGACATCGGTCTGTAGTGGGGGGAGTGGGCACACTGGAGGTAGTATGTGCCTTTTCGATCTGCGGTGGTGGATGGTGTACTCGGGGCTCACTGTTCTGTCCCTCAGGTGTCCATCTCCCGCAGTGACCCTTGTTTAGTGTGTGACCTTGGTCCTGGAAACACAACCGTATAGTCAAATTAAAAACAACAGATATCAGTATGTGAATGAGATTGTTTTTCTCTCTAAAGCTGGGGTTGTCAAACTCATTTGGTCCAGGGGCACATACAACCTAATTGATCTCAAGTGGGCCGGACCAGGGAGATTGCTCTACAAAAATATCCCAAAAACGGTACAAAGTCCAACTTTTTGTGCACATAAACCACATTTGATTTTAAAATTCCTTTAAAACACTATCTTTAATACTCAGTTTTCTGTTAAAACTTAATGTAACAGTGAGTTTTCCATAGTGCAAATAATGTAATGTATTTACATTATTACATTGAAAATGGTATTTCACAATATGTATATTAATATTTGTATGTTAGCTTTGTTGTTAAGGACTTACAGAGAAACTTGCTCACAAAGGTAATTAGTAGACAGAAAAAAGCTACTATAACACAGAACTAGCTTAACCATCTTCAGTGTGGTTAAGGTCCATGGTTATGTTATTATCACATTAACCATCTTCACAGTGTGGTAAAGGTCATGGTTAAGTTTATTATCACATTAACCTATCTTCAGTGTGGTCAGGTCCATGTTAAGTTATTATCACATTATCCTCTTCAGTGTGGTAAGGTCATGGTTATGTTATTATCAATTAAACATTCTTCAGTGTGGTAAGGTCCATGGTTATGTTTATATCACATTAACCATCTTCCAGTGTGTAAGGTCCATGTTATGTTATTATCACATTACCATCTTCAGTGTGTAAGGTCCATTGTTATGTTATTATCACATTAACATTTCAGTGTGGTTAAGGTCCCTGGTTATGTTATTATCACATTAACCATTTTCCGTGTGGTCAGGTCCATGGTTGATGATATTATCACATTAACCATCTTCAGTTGTGGTCTAAGGGTCCATGGTTATGTTATTATTCACATTTAACCATATTCATGTGGTTAAGTCCATGGTTATGTATTATCACAGAGAGAAAGCATCAAATGACCATGATTCAGTTTTGAAATGAATATAAAAAACTTCCATTAACGTGATTCCATTCTTTAAAGACTGCAGCTGTGTCTCTGTGTAAAACACAGTCAAATGTCCAAAAATCATCACCTCATTTGCAGCTTTGTCACTACACCTGTTTTTACATTCGGTTACCTGTCCACACTGTCCAAACACACCAGCAACAAACTGCAGAACCAGCAGCAGCGCTCAAAACTCCTTGTTTGTTTCAGTTACACAACAAATGAATTATGGTGACTTCAGTAACATCAGTCTCTTATCGATGGCAACATGTGGTTAATAAGCGATTGGTTTCTCAGACCATGTCTGCAGCCGGGCACGGGTGGAAGGTCGAGTGGGGCCCAGTCAGTCTCAGACTCCTCGTCCTGAGAGGAGTCCGGACGGGGCGCTGCAGCGGCGAGGTACGCACGCCTGCGTTCGCTCTCCTCCCTGGGGCGAGCGAGACACGAGGTGCAGGTGGCGCTCAACGCCGCATGGCCCGGGCCCAGGCACATGAAGCAGCTGGAGTACTGGTCCGTGCGCTGGAGCCTGACTCGACACGTCGAGCAACGACAACGTCCGACGCCGGAGGGCGAAGGGGAACTCGGACGAGCATCAGAAGACATCTTTTCTCTGGAATAAAGTGAGTACTGTGGTAGATCTCAATCGGCGCCAGAGTGAAAGAGGGGGTGCGGCCTTGTGCAGGGGCATTTATAGAGGAGGGTGGCTGGTGATTGGAGCAAATTATTTTGATCTCTCTGGCGTGTGACCTGGGGGTCACGAGTGATATCCCACTAGCGAAGTCCTAAGGGACGTAGCACCATGACGTAGAACGTGAGATTCCAACGTCGGTGAAGAGAAAACAGAGTTCATTATGCGCAGACCAACTGACAGATCACACAACTGGTCAGAACACCAGATGTGTCATGTGCATTTTTCACCATTGAATTTTTTCTCGTTGAATTTTGACTGTTGAATTTAATATTATGAAATTGATAATCAGTGACTGAAATTCACAGAAAAAAATATTCAAGATATTAAAAACATTCAAATAGAAGAATCCAGGTCCATTTAAAATTCAATTTCTGATGGAACAAATAATCTGTCTTTTTTTTTTTTCATAGCATTTTTTTTTGTGGAATATTTTGAAGGTGAAAATGTCATTTTGAAATTTTACTCACATTGAAATTTGTAAACTGAATTTTTAGTGATTGAAATGCAAAGATGCATATATTCAAACATGCTTTTTCAGGGCTAAAAATTTCAAATGGAAAAATTCAAGCTAAAAAAAATTAAAAATCTGATGACACAAAAAATCTTCCATAATAGAACATCAGTAGAACATCAGTAGAACATGTGTAGAACATCAGTAGAACATCTGGCCCTGGTGCCCTCTCTCGGGGCCGTAGAGACCCCCTGCTGACATGTTCCTCTGGTCTCAGGAACAATGCAGAGAACATGTACTTCTTCTCATCTCTGGCTCTGACGCTGAACGAGCCGGAGGAGGGCGTGGCGCCCACGGACAGCCGGCGGCGCCCTGACCAGAGGCTGATGGAGGCCGGTCTCTGGGACGAGGCTAATACCCAAAAGCAGCGCCTGGAGGAAATCCAGCGGCTGCAGAGGAAGAGTAGGGAGACTCAGACGCAGCAGGCCCTGGAGGACGGTAAAGACAGGACTCATTCATCTAGTTCTCAGTCACTGTAACTTTCAGACCAATAGAACTCTGTATTAAACCTATGTCTCATGTATCAGACAGGTACCTGTCTGTGTGACTGTCTGTGTGACTGTCTGTGTGACTGTCTGTGTGACTGTCTGTGTGACTGTCTGTGTGACTGTCTGTGTGACTATGTAGCAGTCTGTGTGACTATGTAGCAGTCTGTGTGACTATGTAGCAGTCTGTGTGACTATGTAGCAGTCTGTGTGACTATGTAGCAGTCTGTGTGACTATGTAGCAGTCTAAGTGACTGCCTGTGTTTGAACAGGTCCAGATGTAGACGGGCACCAGGCGCAGTGGTTTGAGAAGCGAGCAGACGAGACGACGGGAGAGATCTCCTACATGTACAAAGGAGGATACTGGGAGGCCAAGGAGAAGCAGGACTGGAGCCAATGTGCACACATCTTCTAGATCCAGAGACTGTACATGTAAATAGGTATAACACTGCTGTGGACTGGTTCCTGTCCCTGTAGCAGATCCTCAGGACCAGAACCAGGACCAGATCCTCAGAACCAGATCCTCAAGGGAAGGACCAGGATCAGGACAAGACCAGGGCACAACAAACCCAGGCTTCATGAAAGCACCTTTTTCTTTAAATATTTATGACTGTAGTTTTTTTATTATGTTCCTAACTTTGGATGACCAGGTTTTCTCCAGAATGTTTCTGACTCGCATTGCACCTGCGCTCACATCCATCCCCGACACTAAAGCCTCAGTAAGTACAGTTATGAATGAATATTAAAGAATATTTAACAGTATTAAAGAATATTTGAGAGTATTACAGAGTACACATGTTCTGCAGGATCAGAACCTTTATCTGCTCCACAGACACACAACAACCAGGCATAGAGTAGAAACACACACACACACACACACACAGACAGACTTTGAGGCTGTGACTGAATCTGTTTATTTATCGCAGTAGCAAAGTAGTTCTTTCTGCACATGGCTGCAATTTATTTATATTTATAATGTGAAAACCTGTGGCTTCCTCGTCCAAAATGTTTGGACAGTTCCTCCAGGAGGAGGAGGCGTGGACAGTTCCTCCAGGAGGAGGAGGCGTGGACAGTTCCTCCAGGAGGAGGAGGCGTGGACAGTTCCTCCTGGACGAGGAGGAGGCAGAGTTTCCTCTATGATCATAAGGTTTATGTTTAGCACTAAACATAGATTCTCTGTCTTCAGGTTGAGCTTATTGAAGCCTAACCTTGTGTTTCTCATAGACTTAGAGCACATCCTGAACACAGGTCGTAGGTCGTAGGTCGTTGCATGGATAATGAATATCTTTCACCTGTAAAACCATGAAACAGAACTCATGTGATTCACCTTTTGTGCCCAGCGCCCACAAACATGTGACCATTTGAATAAAGACTCAGCGGCGAATGTGTCTGACTCTGTCATAACAATAAATGATGATTATTATAATTATAGAAAAGTTGATATCTCTGTAGCATGTGTGTGCGCGTGTTTGTGTGTGTGCACGTGCGCGTGTTTGTGTGTGCGCGCGTGTTTGTGTGTGTCGGTCCTTCCTGTTGAAAGTAATGTAATGTTAGTATTAGATAGCAATATGGCCTACGTGCAGGACTGTACAAGGACTCTACAAGGACTCCATGTTATGACTATGATTTGACAGTCTCTTTGTGACACGTATGTCTTTCGATGTGTGACGTGACAATGACTATATAAACTGTGTACTGCCTTTATTCTGTCTGAGAGAAAGAAACAGAGTAAACCAGTGGAACTTGAGAGAAACCTAAATAAACTTCCAGAGTTTGGCACACCACGATCCGTCTCTGTCTGCTAAATCCTGACAGATTTGGTGGAGAATGTGCGGCTCAGTGTGTGCCATTCTCTGGATTGTTTTGAGGGAATTTCCTCTGTTTCTTTTTTTCGGCGTGTGGGAGCAACAGCACGTTATCTGGAAGGGGAGAAATCCCAGTGGACGCTGAAAGGGCTCGCTTTTGGATGGGCTTGCTCTTGCTCCCTCACTTTCTCTGTTTTGTGTTTAAATTGAATTTTTCAACGCGGAAAAGATGTTGGTCGACCTCTCGAACAGTCCGGACAAAGAAAATAAGGTAAGCAGACACCTTTTTTAATATGTAAAGTCTGCATAATTGGATACTAGCTAAATTTTGAGCTGTCCCGGAGGTCTGTCCAAATCTCTCTAAATCAAATTTTCTTTGTTATGTCTTTGTCACGTCTTTGTCATGTCTTATGTTGTAGAAAACAGGTTAGCTGTGTGGGTAACCAGTCCCTATAGGAAAAAGGAACCCCTGACGTATCGGGGTCCCTGTCCTTTGAAGTAGTCAGGACAGAGAGAAAAAGGTACCCCTGACGTATCGGGGTCCCTGCCTTTGGAGTAGCCGGGGCAGAGAATAGAGAATAGAAAATAGTTAATGAAACCATGGTGTAAAAATTAAAAGTTATAATAAAAAGGGAAACGTTAAACACAAGAGTGCCTTTTGTTACTAGTGTTGAAATTGGCCATTTCTAGACTTGGATGACAAAAGTATAAACTACAAGTTATATTCGCTTAGCAAAGTAATCTTGAAAGTTATTCTTCTTTCTGTTTTTGCATTTTTGCTAAAACACTGCTTTCTGCCTGTGTGTGCACTATCTTGCTGCCGTTGTCAGGGAAACGGCCCCCTCCTTCGCTGCTCTGGCTCTGAATCAGAGCAAAGCTATCGCTTTAGGATTTTGCTTTTCATAGTTTTTATTCCGTTAAATTTGCGAAATTTGCCATTGAACATTGTGTTATGACACAGTTAAACATTTTTAAACACCATTAGGGAATAGAAGTTTGAATTAGTATGTTTTTGAAACCCAAATATTAGTGCTAAAAGCTGTGCAAAGACCTAACATATTTCTAGATGCCATTCTTTTAAATCTGCTGCTTATTTCTTAACTTTTTGTGAGTTGTGTTTGTTTTTATGTTTTTATTTTAGTTACAAAAGCCGTTTTTCAAACATTTAAATTAGAATCTGTGTTAAAAGTGATTATTGATTATAGACTTCGTCTAAAAAGAAAGAGGGAATTAGCATTAGCTGTAAAAGTATTATATTATTAAGTTAAACTACCCAATTCACCCATTGCAAGCGGTGACGTTTTTGTTTTGACTAACGCGTGTTTTGACACGCGTGACCTTGCTCCTGCTGCTCCTGCTGCCCAGAGACAGGAGGAGGCAGCTCCGACGCACAATTGAGTTTTATTGAACCAAATCCAGTTTAGCTGGAGCTAAATCTTTTGTTTGATTTCAAGTTTTGTTTTAAATGTTTTTACAAATTAATGTTCATTTTTATAGAGATTTTTCATAATTTCATTTCATGGCGTCTTTCAAGAAACCCAAGGACGCATAGATAATTAAACACACAGTACAAAAGTACACATATTTTAAAGTTTAAAAAGGTTTTTTTAGATTTGAGTCTTGTTTTTTTATATTAAGAGTTTCTGGTCTTAAAATGTCATCATTAGTAAGATAATAAGTAATCTTTTATTTACATAGCGCATGTGGGAAAGCTCAGAGCGCTCCAAAATTGTTTAGACTTTAGGGAGAAAAACAATCTCATTCGCATACTGATATCTATTGTTTTTTTAAATTGGCCGTCTCAAGGATTGTTTTTCAGACTCTGCCACACTGTACAGGGTCACTGCTGGACACTGGACAGCGCAACGCCCACCCAGCCACAGGCCACAGAGCTAAGAGCAAAGGGCAACAATGCCACCTCTACGCCCCTCCCCCCACTACAGAAGTAAGTGGGAGTGAGACCGGGGCCATGAAAGTGGAGGTTTCTGGAGGCAGTGATGGGTGGAGGCCTCAGGTAGAGACCTAGAGGCAGTTGAAAGTGTGTCCACGTGGTTACATCACCACAGTGTGACCTTTGACACCTGCAGGTGGTTCGAGGAGTCTGGAGACACAACCCCAAAATTCACATACACACACACACACACACACACACACACACACACACACACACATTCATACACTCACACATTCACATTTACATATAGATACATGAAAAAGCAGAACATGAGAAAAAAGCATTTTAAAAGTTTACTCCAATGTAAACACATATTTTTTATTGTCTATCACTTGAATCAGTATTTTTTGAGACCAGAAATGTTCATTTGAATTCTATATTGTCATGGACTTAATTGACGTCTGTCCTGACACTTTTTATTTGTTGATTTTGTACTGTGTGCAGTAATTACATTGATTAGGATTAGAATCAAAGTGACTAACCATAGAGAGTAACTACTGCATAACAAGCTGTGTACAGGAACTGTGACACTGCACCATTGACCAGAAGTGCATCGCAAATGACCTGATGTGCTTCAAGTGAAAAGACTGTATCTGGAGATCTGATGTGCATCTGGAGGGACCACAACCATGGCTTGGACCCTACTGATGTCCAAGATGACATCTCTCGAAAAATGACCAGACCTGATGACGACTGAGACTCACCCTCAGGGGACCCTGAGGACCTGAGGACCTGGGGACCCTGAGGACCTGAGGACCTGAGGACCTGAGGACCTGAGGACCTGAGGACCTGAGGGCCTGAGAGAGAAAACCTGGGGAGTGATGTTTATATTTTTAAAATCATACATTGATGAGTGCTAAATGAGAGAGATACTCATGATTCTTCTTTTGTTTTTGTTTGTCCCTAGCTTCTGGACATCTGATGATCTATTGGACACAGCCATTTGCAGAACAAGAACCAGCCAATGAAAAACGTCTATTGCCGATGCTCTTGCTAGAACCACAACTGTGACAAATGCAATATACATTTTAAGTATTCAGACATCTGACAGACAAAACTTTGACTTTTTAGTCTGGGAGACTGAGCAACAGTTAAAATGTTTTAAAATGATAAAGTATGAGTATTGTAGCGTTTTATTAGATGTTAAATAGTAGTAAAAAAGTAGAATTGTCCTTTCTTTGTTGTTCATAAACACATTTCCACATAAGAGTTAAAATAGTACCATACAATGTTATCCTTCTGATAGAGCAGCTAGAATATTAGAATCAGAGTATGTTAGAGATATTAAAAGTGACAGAAGTCACAAATTAGGAATATGCCTTTGCTCAAGTTGCAGCCAAACTTTGGAGTCACAATAGTGTAGAAATAGAATTAGATAAATGCATCAACCATAGATGCTTTCAAAAATAGAGAATATTTCTAGCCAGTGCTAATATCAAATGGTAAAGGGACCATTTCACAAACATTTACTTCAAAAGTAGATAAAGTTCATTACAGTTTATGTACAGTTTTATTAGATACTTGCCAAATTCACTTGTGTTCAAACATGAGTGAATGTTGACAATACAAAAGGTTCATGAGTGTAGTCTAGATTAATGAGATAGATTAGAACCAACAGAGATTCAAAAGCATTTAAAAGCATTTTGATGCATTTGGGTGTAGCCCAAAAACACAATAGTAGATATTTAGATATTGAGAAGTTTCCAGCACAAACACCATTGTAGAATATCTGACCCCAACCCCAAACCTAATTAGCTACTGTAAGGATAATACCAATTTGATTACTGATGTACATTCATCCCAAACTGCCTGAGAGGAGGAAGTGACAGCACTTCCTGGTTCAACAAATGTATTTGGAAAACTGACTGCCATAATAATGTTCATATTAACCATTTGCCTTACTGTGTTCAGTTTTATTCCTGAGAATGAGAATAGACATAGAGCAAAATCCCACGAACAATAAGCCACTGATAATGAGAGAAAACCACAGAATAGAGAGATTTATTAGATTAAAATGTATGTTTAAGAATATGGCTCAATAGAAGCAAATATGCAAACATATTTGTGAATAGATTAGAATAGTTTTAAACTATAGTGAATAGTAAAAGTAAAGTACACAGTCTAAGATTGAAAAGTGAAAATAATACAGTGAAATAAGTGAAGTGTAAACAATTATCATTAGAATAAAAGTATAGAGTAAGAAAAGTTAAATTAGCTTCAAATTGAGACTCAGCTCGTTTTTGTCTGTGTTTTGACTGAATCTGCTGAGTTCTTGTGTGTCCAATAGAGTGTGTTTTTGTTTTTATTTTTGTTTTGTTTTTTGTTTGTTTATTTACTTTATTTTTGTTTGTTTCCCAGGATAGAGGATAAAATCCACTGATATTGATTGGATGATTATGAGTTTAATGCATACATTTTCTTTGTTTTTTAATAATTTTTGAAAGTTTTTTTTTGGATTTTTTTTTTCTTTTTCTCACTTTATTGATTGATCAAATTGAGTGATCACATGTGATTATGTGATCAAAGGGGAGGGTGTTAGTATTAGATAGCAATATGGCCTACGTGCAGGACTGTACAAGGACTCTACAAGGACTCCATGTTATGACTATGATGTGACTGTCTCTTTGTGACACGTATGTCTTTCGATGTGTGACGTGACAATGACTATATAAACTGTGTACTGCCTTTATTCTGTCTGAGAGAAAGAAACAAAGTAAAACAGTGGAACTTGAGAGAAACTTAAATAAACTTCCAGAGTTTGGCACACCACGATCCGTCTCTGTCTGCCTCATCCCTAACAGTAAGTATTATATATGTGAAATATTTAACTTAAACACACATTAAAGATTTAATTTAAATATTTAGATTAAATATGTAATGTGTGTTAGCTCTAAAACCTGAAGTAGCTCGCCATTCCACAGATATGACGTGTAATTTAGAGATGTCACTAGATTTTCTCTGTTGCAGATTCAAGTGTAATGGAAGAAGTGTTTGTGTGAGAGAAAGCCTGTAAGGAAAGACAAGTTTATTTATATAGCAGAGTTCATACACAATGACAGTGCTGAACGAATCAGACAGAAACCTTCACACAAGGAAGAACTGCTGGAACTTGGATTTGAACATTGTCAAAGAAGCCTGTCACATTTTCAGGAAGACGGTTCCAGTATTTTGCTGCGTCCTGAGCCTTCAGAGAGAGCGGGAGAGACCAGGGACCACAGACCACAGACCTGTGGAACCTCAGTTTGGGAGTCGCTACAACAGAACATTACAACATCATTTGGATCTAGACCCAGAGTGAGGAGGACCTGGACCCGGTGACGCCGACCCTCTGATGAGGACACACAGAGCAGACTCTTGTCTCTCTGGTCTCTTGGGCACAGGACACAGATGACGGTAAATCACTTGAGCTTTGTTTTTTCTACGTGTGTGGGATGTTTGTGTCCGGGACCTGAGCTGAATGACTCTGTGTCGCATGTGGAGCTAACTGTTAGCTTCTGTTAGCTTCTGTTAGCTTCTGTTAGCTTCTGTTAGCTCCTGTTATGTTCTTCACATTTCCCCTGGATACTTTAGAGGTCAGCAGAGCGATGCCTTCTGTCTGTGGACGCGGTTATACTGTGCACAGTCTGTGGTTCTACAGTCTGTGGTTGTACAGGTGTAATGAGTGGATACAGTTTTAGCTTAGTTGTTTTGGTAAAAACACATGCGCCAAAGTGGACCTTATACGGACTGTAGAACGAACACACAGAGTCACACTTCATCTGAATGTGATTTATATTTAACCACTGCTCTGGTGTGAGGCTCTGCAGCTGACAGACAGAGACAGACAGCTGATGTTTACCATCGTGTTTTGGTGCAGCAGACTACGTCACAGCAGACTACGTCACAGCTCCCCCTCTTCTCCCCCTCCTCCTCCTCCTCCTCCTGCAGCTGCTCCTCCTTCTCTTGCAGTTACACAACAGGAACATCATGCAAAACAGAAACACGTGCTTTAAGGCGGTGTCTGAAGGAAAAGAGCAGAACAGTTTCTGAACGCTGACCGTGGGTGAATACAGAGTAACTGCTGTGTGTGCTCCTGTGTTTGCTCCAGGAACCATGAGGACAACCATGAGGACAACCATGAGGACAACCATGAGGACAACCATGAGGACAACCATGAGGACAACCATGAGGACAACCATGAGCAGGACATGACCAGCACTGATGCATGTCCCCACAGTGAGTGCAGGACTGATGCCTGTGGCTCCTCTGCAGACGCCTCGTGCACACGCAGACCTGAGGCAGATGCAGACGCCTCGTGCACACGCAGACCTGAGGCAGATTTAGACGCCTCGTGCACACGCAGACCTGAGGCAGAGGCAGACGCCTCGTGCACACGCAGACCTGAGGCAGATGCAGACGCCTCGTGCACACGCAGACCTGAGGCAGATGCAGACGCCTCGTGCACACGCAGACCTGAGGCAGAGGCAGACGCCTCGTGCACACGCAGACCTGAGGCAGATGCAGACGCCTCGTGCAGACGCAGATCCCTGGCCGAGATGCTCCACCTGCTGACGGCGGTGGTGGTGTGGCTGGTGACTGGGAGCACCATCTCCAGTTTGAACAAATGGATCTTTGCGGTGTACAAGTTCCGGTACCCTCTGCTGCTGTCTGCGTTGCACATGCTGACGGCCATTGTGGCGGACTACGTTCTGCTCAAACTGCGGATGATCCACCACAGACGAGAGCAAGACCTCACGCCCAGCGCCAAGTGCAAGGTGTTCCTGCTGAGCCTCACCTTCTGCGCCAGCATCGCCTTCGGGAACCTGGGCCTGACCTACGTGCAGCTGTCCTTCGCTCAGATGATCTACAGCACCACCCCCCTGTTCACTCTGGCCATCTCCTCCATGGTCCTGGGTCAGCAGCACCACATGGTGAAGTACACGGCCATGATGCCCATCTGCCTCGGCGCCTCCTGCAGCGTCCTGGGGGAGGTGCACTTCGACCAGACCGGTTGCATGTTCGTGTTCGCCGCCACGGTGCTCCGAGGCGTCAAGTCCATCCAGCAGAGTGAGTCTGCTTCATTCAACAATACCATTACTACTATTATTATTTTTATATTTTTATTATTATTTTATTGTTATTATTATTATTATTACAAATCACTCTCTTCCCATAAAATATGAGCGTGGCCTCTTCTCTGACAATGTATATATTTAGGTTAAAAACAGTTCTGTTTCGTCAACAACTGTGAGGCTTTATATTTAAAATTTTTAATATACTGTGATTATTCATGACTTTAATGCTATCTGGTTTTGTTCAGCATTTTTAGTTGTCTTGTGTATTGTGCTTTACAAATAGCCTTCTCTCTCTGGTCTCTCTCACTAGTCTCTCTCTCTGGTCTCTCTCACTAGTCTCTCTCTCTGGTCTCTCTCACTAGTCTCTCTCTCTGGTCTCTCTCTGTTATAAAGACATTCTATGACCTATTTACACCTGCATTATAATGATACCATCATAATATTTGAACATATCTGCTTAAAGTAAATGGTTTTATCACTACTACTGCTGTTACTGTTACTGCTGCTACAAAGAGGAGTCAGTCTGACTGCTCCACATGCTCCAGTGTTACAGAAATGTTACAGAAGAGAACAGAACATTTGGTCTTTTTCTCAGAGATTGACAGATTTGGAGGCGGGGTTTAAGTGCTGCATGTTCAAAAATACGTTTTGACCTTATCCACCATTTTTCTACAGGTGAAACACATTTTTGTTTTATCACCACTGAAAGAATATTATTCAAAATGAATTATTGACATAAATGTGAAACTGCTGCATGACACAGACTCAGAAGTGACATGATCCCTGTATGCACTCTGCATTTGTGTTTGTGTGTGTGTGTGTGTGTGTTTCCCTGCAGGTGTGAGTGTGTATACCTGCAGGTGTGGGTGTGTGCGCGTGTGTGTGCATGCCTGTAAGTGTGGGTGTGTGTGTGGCCGTGGGTATGTTTGTGTTTGTGTGTGTGTGTGTGTGTGTGTATGCCTTCAGGTGTGGGTGTGCCTGTGTGTGTGTTCTTGTTTTATTTACTTGTTTTTCCGGATGGTGGTAAATAGATAAGATTATGATCATTCCTTCTTAATGCAAATCTTAATCTGTGTGTGTTGTGTGTGTGTGTTGTTGTGTTGCAGGCATCCTGCTGCAGCAGGAGCAGATAAGCTCCATGTTCCTGCTGTACCTGATGGCCATCCCCAGCTTCTGCATTCTGAGCGTGGCGGCGCTGGTTCTGGAGACGTGGTCCGAGCGGCCGCTGCAGCTGGACGTGCGGCTGTGTGTGTGCGTCCTGCTCAGCTGCCTGGGCTCTGTTCTCTACAACGTGTCCAGTAACTGCGTGATCTCGCGGACCTCGGCCGTCACGCTGCACGTCCTGGGGAACCTGTCTGCGGTGGGGAACCTCCTGGTGTCGCAGCTGCTGTTCGGCTGCGAGCTGTCGGCGCTCAGCTGTGTGGGGGCGGGGCTTACTCTGTTTGGGATTCTGCTCTTCCAGAACTCAGAGCTCATCATACACTACATGGACAGGTCTAAGGAGAACTCTGAAGAGAACTCTGAGGACAGCTCTAAAGACTGTGAGAGAGACAGAGACGGCACTAAAGACAGCTCTGAAGACAGCTCTGAGGACAGCACTAAAGAGCCTTCAGACTGCTCCTCTGGTCACATGGTACAAAGCTCTCTTCAGTCTGGAGACATCACTGAAACGCAGTTGCACAGGAGAAAGACAAAACCTCAAGACAAAATCAATTGAAAACAGGAGGAGTAAATGTGATGATGATGACCCCAGACCTTTAATCCAGTCCGCTCTCCGATTCTGTGTGTCTCTCTGGGCTCTCTCTGGTCTTTCTCTGATCTCTCTGGTTACTTCTTTAATCCAGGCTCTATAAACCGGGACGAGGGGGCTGTCGTACTCTCACACACCTGGGATCCTGAAGACTTGAAGGAGACTGCATCATGTGACCTCTTAGGGATACTGCCACAGAGACCATGTGTAGAACCTACAGTTTCCTTTTCCTCTCGACCGAAAAACTCCAAAAGAACTTTGTGTTCAGCTTCAGCAAATGCCGCACGGACAGTAATCTGAATTTAGAGCTAAAGTTGGAATTTCAATTAAGAGCTGCTTCTGTTGGTCTCTGTTACTCCAATTACTGTGCCATCATAATGAGATTCTTACCCCCTAAGGAGTCTCTCTGGTCTCCCTCTGGTCTCCCTCTCTGGGTCTCTCTCTGGTCTGGTCCTCAGTTCAGACATGTTTTATTTTGCTAAAAGAATTGTTTTAACCCTTAAATACTTTAATATTTATATTAGTATTTATTTCTATGTTTGATCCTGGTCACTGCTGCTGCTGCAGGGAGTGGGTTGTGTTGCAGAATCCTGTTTGTGGCTAAAGAGCACTGTTCTAGAACCTCATGCCTTACTGTAGCTGCACCTCCTGCAGGAGGAGGAGGAGGAGGATCCCATGGTGTTGGTTTTTCATGTGGAGGTGAATATGTACTTTAAAGAGACTGTGACATTTGGGTCAATTCAAAATATATAATATAACAACACTATTGTCTCCAGAACATTTATTTGGAAGCACATATTTTTGAGGCTCAACAGAAATAAGAATACTGACGCGCACATACACACACACACCTGTGGGCGATGTGTCTTGCCTAAGGATACCCCAGTTTGGCACTTAATAGCCACAACTGCCCCACTGTGGCACCTGGTGTCCCCAGAGGTCTCCCATCACAGCACTAACCAGGTTTTGACCTGCCTAGCTTCAGAGGTTTGACGAGATCAGGTTTGGGGTCTGGACGAGTGTGTTTGATAATGGGTCAGTGTGAGAATAACTGACACATGTCTACAGCACCAGTTCCCCACCAGGGGGAGCTCTTCTCTATGTTTAAACTAAACTAACATATTATAATATATTATAAAGGTCTCCTCCGTTTGAAAATGTTGTGTTTTCTGTGTCGATGTTTCTCTAAAGTCAGAAAGTCTGAGCTCTGACTTCCATCTGGGAATTCCTCCATGTTATAAACACTGCACTTTTGCCTCAATAAGGAGTTCTCCTCCGTTCAGGATCTTAACCCCTTACTGTCCCAGACACACACATATACACGCACACACACACACACACACACATACATACACACAAACACAGACACACACATATACACACACACACATATACACACACAGACACACACACATACACGACTGTGGGCCCAGAGGGAGCTGACCCTCCCAGAGTCTCCAGACCCTCTACATCAGGTCCATCCCTGCAGGCTCCAGGACTCAAGGCTCCAGGACTTAAGGCTCTAGGACTCAAGGCTCCAGGACTGAAGCAGGTACTTCTGTCACCTTTAAACACCAGTTTGTCACTATTATACCTTCTTTAGTGGCGTGGGGTCCAGGGGCAACAGGGGGTCCAGGGGGGGCGGTCTCATCCTCAGGGACCCCCACCATCTCAGAGTACTGCTCAGGCCACACGGGGAGGTCTTCTGACACCAGGACCAGTGTGGCCCCTTCGTTTGTCGATTCAGCAAACTCCTGAATGGTTTCTTCAACGGTCATTCCTGGTAAACAAGATTAGGAGATTACCCCAAACTGAACATACAAGATTGAAAAATACAATTGCTTTTGTTGGGAAAGGAAAAGAACTACTTTAAAATCTGGAATATAAGTGTTTTTTTTTTTTCTTAAATAATACTTTTATGTTAGGGCAAACTGCATTCTTGTAAAAGTAAATAAGGATCACAACAGTCGGTTTCCATTTTAATCTACCGCCCCCGGGCCCCACAGTCCTGGACCCGCTGCCCCCGGGCCCCACAGTCCTGGACCCCGCCGCCCCCGGGCCCCACAGTCCTGGACCCCGCCGCCCCCGGGCCCCACAGTCCTGGACCTTCAGATTGTATTTAGCAGTTCCTACAGATTCAGGGAGGTCTCAGGACAATGGGTTTTCCAGCTCTCTACAAACCAAAGGCTTCTGTGAGTTTTGTCTTATTGCATTTCCTGTGTTTGAACAATTTGATTCTCTGATCTGTTGGAGAAGCAACAACTTTGTAGTCCTCAAAGACAACGGCTGCTGTGAAATGAGGCCGTACAGAAACACGGAGTAGGACGGTTTTGTGTCCGAACAGCCTCCTCCATGGCTGACAACCCACAGGGAAAACGTGACAACAGATGTTTATCAGATATGTGAAAGATTTACTGAGCCAAAGAAGATTTTTGAAAAGCCAGATACACTTCCCCCTCATTACACACCTAGTGCACGTGTACAGAGTAGGCTGAAGACATTTATGCATGATTTTATTCATGCCTTCTTGATTTTATACTGCTTTAACTTGTTTGCAGAGAGCCAAAAGCCAATGTTTCCTAGTTTGTGACTTCCTGTTACTTACATGGCAATAAAAGGATTCTGATTCTTAAACCAAATCCTTTTAAATTTACTGCCAATAACAAAACATGAACCGTGGGATTCTACTTTAGACACAATGTTACAAATAAACTCTTCACTTACTCTTTGACACACATACAGTATAAAATACACAGACACTGACCTGGTTGTCCACATGCTACAGCCACCAGCGCCAACACGACCAGCCCAGAGGAGACCATCTCTGCTCTCAGTCTGAACAGTCCCAGGTCTTCCTCTCTGGTTTTAGTCTCCTCTTCATCACTGAACTGGATGCAGCTGTGTCCACTCACTGCATCATCATCGGCTGCATCCAATTTCACTCAAAAACACCTCCTTTATCCTTTCAGGTTGAGCTTTTGAGAGCAGATCCAGGACTTTATGCAACTTTTCTGTTGCTGCTTAGAAATGAATCTTTATCTAAAGCCACGAGCTCAACAGGGACGTTTTAGGAGACTCCAAATGTTTTTGAACACAACATTAGAAAAACTTCTAATTTCTTTTAAATATTTATTTGGAAATAAAATAAACGCTTTCATTAATGAGACAAATATGAGCCTTTTCCCTTTTTCACAAACAGACCTTAAACATCAGCACAGAGCTCAAAACACACACATGGCTCTGGGGTTTCTGAGTCTGAATCTTCTCTATAAAATCTGTTTTAACAGTGTGTCAGGATGTGGTCAGAAACAGTAGTCGTGCGACAGAGAAAATGGTTCTGGACTCGCTGGACTCTGAGACCAGACTTTCTGTGTGTATTTTTGTTTTGCTGGAGCGACCCCCGGGTTTTTAATATATAAATACTGTATATGAATTAATCCAGTTACATTTGAAGTTTATTGTCAATTTAGACCGTGTTTTTATGATCTACCTCTTCAAACCCATGTGCTATTGCTTAAATTAGGGTCTAAAAAGGTCTAAATGGTCCAGGCCTGATTTGGATAAATCTTGAAATTTCAGCTCGAAAAGAACATATTTTGGTTAATGTTAATGACTGTGGTGGTCTTCATCTCTGTTGGTAAATGTCCCTGACTAACCCTAACCCACTGATGTGAGGGTCTGCCATGGCACGGGTTACAGGAAAATAATACACAAACTTATGTCAAATACAATTATTTTGACAAAACACGTTTCGCTTCTGGCCCCAAATTTGTCCTTCGCCAAAATGAGTTTGATGAAAACCTGCGGCTTTTACTGCAGTGTACTGTTGTCGTACACTGGTGTGGGTCGTACACAGGTGTCTAAGGTTCAGCGAGTCCTAAAGTTACATGTTACATTCTAGATGGACAGAAAAGATCAATTCTAACAATGCCATTCTCTTTATAATCCCTTTGATCCCTGTAGTACATAGTATTTTTAATCTGTATGAAAGTCTGCATGGATCAGCTGGTTTTCACTTCTATGATCAAAGAAATGTAGCGACAGGAGGTATACGTTGCACTTTCAGACAGAACAGAAGTAAACATGTGAAACGCAACAGAAAGAGTTTGTAAACCGTATCCAGGGAAACCCACAGACTGTATAGAGACGGACAGTGCTAACCCGCTAGCGTAATGCTAACTCGCTAGCTCACTGAAAGGCCAATAGGGAAGTGCGCATAGTTAAAATTTGGCTCCAACTCTGTCTGTCTCTTATTGACTCATGTAAAAATAACCTCCTTTAGCTCAGTAACCGTTTGTGTCACAGTCACCATTTTGGGCTTAAAAAATCTGTGATCCTGGTCGTTTATATTGTGATATTCTCTTTGTAATTCCAGAGATTGAGCCAAATCAGGATCGGCCAATCAGATGCCTATATTCGTGGGAATCTCCAGCTTGCCTTAGCAACCGTCTTAGAAACACGTCCGCCCACTGTTACAATGGAAAACGCCATCGGAACAAATGCCCATATAAGGACAGGTGCTGCAGCTAGCTTATGTTCACATTAAGGCTAACACTGGTGATGTCACACTCTCAGTCCTCTCCTAATATACAGTCTATGGGGAAACCGAGCGGGTAACAGATTTTTCCCTTTGACAGAGAATTTCAACACCGTCCTTATTTAGAAATATTATTTATAATCCCTTTGTGTAATTCTTTAAAAAATATACATATGTGAAGTATACATATGAAATCCTGGTAACAGACACTTTATAAAAAACATAATATAACCGTTCTATTGTTGTAGATAAAACTGGATCAGTCTCACTGTGTTGTTGCTACATTGGCCAGAACATGTGTGACCTCTCCGTGCTATGGCAAAGAAAACCCTAAATCCCCCGAATGAGCAGTCAATCTGACTGCTACCACTACTCGTGCTTCTCTCCTTCACCGTAGAGTTTCCTGAGACTCGAGTCCAGCAGCAAATCCACAGACCTGAAGGAAGAAGTGACATGTTTAATGGTTTAAGGACAGTCTTAGAGTCTGGTTTAAAAACATGTCTTTGGGAATACAGTTGTGCTCATGAGTTTACACACCCTGACAGAATGTGCTGTGTTTCAAATCAAGAAGGTCCTGGGTTTGATTCCACCTCCAGACCAAAGCCCGGGTCTCAAAGATGTCTGCCTCTAGTCTCCAACATGTCTGCCTCTGGTCTCTCCAACATGCCTGCCTCTGGTGTCTCCAACATGTCTGCCTCTGGTCTCTCCAACATGCCTGCCTCTGGTCTCTCCAAGATGTCTGCCCCTGGTCTCTCCAAGATGTCTGCCCCTGGTCTCTCCAAGATGTCTGCCCCTGGTCTCTCCAAGATGTCTGCCCCTGGTCTTTCCAAGATGTCTGCCCCTGGTCTCTGGTCTCTCCAAGATGTCTGCCCCTGGTCTCTCCAAGATGTCTGCCCCTGGTCTCTCCAAGATGTCTGCCTCTGGTCTCTCCAAGATGTCTGCCTCTGGTCTCTCCAAGATGTCTGCCCATTGTGTCTTCACTCATTTTAATGCAATGTGATGATTTATAATTTTTATGCCTTCATGATCTTTCCATCTTGTCTTGTTGTGAAGTTCCTCGTTTACGAACCGCGCAAAACAAATACCCTCAGCAGGTCTGTAGATCATGAGCACAGAGGGCATGGCCTCACCTGTCGGTCATGAGCACAGGGGGCGTGGCCTCACCTGTCGATCATGAGCACAGGGGGCGTGGCCTCACCTGTCGATCATGAGCTCAGAGGGCGTGCCCTCACCTGTCGGTCATGAGCACAGGGGGCGTGGCCTCACCTGTCGATCATGAGCACAGGGGGCGTGGCCTCACCGGTCGATCATGAGCTCAGAGGGCGTGGCCTCACCTGTCGATCATGAGCACAGAGGGCGTGGCCTCATCTGTCAATCATGAGCACAGAGGGCGTGGCCTCACCTGTCGATCATGAGCAAAGAGGGCGTGGCCTCACCTGTCGATGGGGGAGATGATGAAGGGGATGGTGGACAGTCCGATGGCGGTGGTGGTCCATTTGCGGACGGGCAGTGGTAACTTGGTGGTTTTGCCGAGAACATACAAAGACCCGGCACAGACTCTGTTGATGGTGAAGCCGGGGATTAGAACCGAGGCCAGGGCCTGCCACACAAACGTGTCCACCACCGCAGCCGCCACACGGGTCGTCCTCCCAGGTTTGTCCCCGAACTCCTGGACACACATAATCCTCTGTTTCACATACAGTACACACCGGACTATAAACCGCACCGGACTATAAGACGCACCGGACTATAAGACGCACCGGACTATAAGACGCACCGGACTATAAGACAAACACCGGACTATAAGACACACACCGGACTATAAGACACACACCGGACTATAAGACACACACCGGACTATAAGACACACACCGGACTATAAGACACACACCGGACTATAAGACACACACCGGACTATAAGACACACACCGGACTATAAGACACACACCGGACTATAAGACACACACCGGACTATAAAACGCAACGGTGTGTCGCCTGTAAATTATTATTATCATTAAAAGAATCTACCATTAAAGTTGCAATATGTACGATTTTTATGTTGAGTCATCATCAAAGGGCCCCAATCTGTCATCATCAAAGGGCCCTAATCTGTCATCATCAAAGGGCCCTAATCTGTCATCATCAAAGGGCCCTAATCTGTCATCATCAAAGGACCCTAATCTGTCATCATCAAAGGACCCTAATCTGTCTGGGCGCCAGAACTCACCGCGTGGAGCTAATCTCACTGGTAAAGTACCATGTGGCGCAGAACTAAAAAGGTCTCGTTATGATTCTCAAATCATTAACGACAAAACAAGGAATAAAACCAGGATTGGTTTTATTCCTTGTGAAAAAGGTGTTGTTTATAGATTTGTTGTTGACAAAACTCTTGTTATGGTCCCAGCTGGTTTCGTCTGCATATCTGGCAACCTGAGTCAGGGAGAGTGGGAGAGGCTGCAGTACCACTTTAGGCCGCATGTTTACAGACTGCTCCTTTAAAGTGTGCTCAGACCGAATCATGCTGCGGCGAGTTTCACTGCAAAGTCAATGGTGACGTCCGCCATGTGAGGAAGTGCATGTACGCCACGGCACGCAATTTTGTCCCGCGCAGCAGACTGAACATCCTCGCTCCACACACGCACAGCAACCAATCAGAGAGCAGCAAAGTGGTCACACTTGAAAACAACCAAAACGCACCTAACCCAGGACTAAACCAGGACTGACTATGGGGGACGCAGTGCCTGTGAACATATGTCCTCTACTGTAACTGTAAAGTGCTGCTAACGTGTTCGCCAACAGGAAGTAACCACCACTTCCTTCAGGGCACTATCAGAGACTAAACTCATGCAGCTGAAATATAGTGAAAGTGCGTCCATGCATCGGCTTCACTCCGATGACTTGATTTCTGAAAAGTGTTGAAGGAACTCGCCTCAGCTGCTTTCTTCCCTTTGTCGATGGCATCAGCAGTGACGTAACACGTAGCCACAGCATAGGTACCCCAGACCAGGCTCACAGGGACCAGGGCCCGGAACGCCTCTCCCACCTCGTTGGCGTAGCCTGGAAAAGAACAAATCCATATTCAGGTCAGGACTGAGGCTGTAGACCCAGGACTGAGGCTGCAGACCCAGGACTAAGGCTGTAGACCCAGGACTGAGGCTGTAGACCCAGAACTAAGGCTGTAGACCGAGGACTGAGGCTGTAGATCCAGGACTAAGGCTGTAGACCCAGGACTAAGGCTGTAGACCCAGGACTGAGGCTGTAGACCCAGGACTGAGGCTGTAGATCCAGGACTGAGGCTGTAGACCCAGGACTGAGGCTGTAGATCCAGGACTGAGGCTGTAGACCCAGGACTGAGGCTGTAGATCCAGGACTGAGGCTGTAGACCCAGGACTGAGGCTGTAGACCCAGGACTGAGGCTGTAGATCCTTATTCAGGTGAACGTAGGTGAACGTTTGTGGGACGCCACATTGCTCGATAAAATAATTCCTGGATGTTGCAATTCTCCAACTCTCGCTTCTTAAACCACAGTAAAATCAGAGGAGAACCGGTGGGGGAAGTGTCTTGCTGAATGACACAATGCGACAGGTATGCATTTGGGCACTAAACCTAATTTAGAGCTGGGGTTCTTAACTTTTTATTCTCCATAAAAAATTGTATTTCTCCCAACACAAAGAATCTTGTCCAAGACTCAACATGTTCTATTTATATTATTATAAAATGTGTGTATACTTGAGCCCTGTGAGTCATTATTTGACCCTTTGGGCTGAGAGCTGATTGGCCGAGTGAGGGTGGGTCGCTCTTTTTCACTTCAAACAACATAAAAACTAGTGATAGAACCAACTGTTTACATGTTTTGAGGTTTTAAGTTTAAGCCCGGTTCTCCACAGGCCGACCCTACCACAGAGGATCTGGTGCCGTATCCGAGCTTCCAGGACACTGACCAATCACTGCCAGTTAGACACTTCAGTACCAGCTCACTGAATGACCTCTGTGTATGTGCAATACATAAATAAACTCGACCTCAATGCATATTTGCACTTGTATATTGTAAATAGTAACTGTAATCATTTCATTCTAATGTTTACACCTTAGACGTGCTGCTGATTTGTATTATGCCGTACTCTGTTCTTTACCTTCTTTGACCGAGCCAAAGCTATTTCCTAGTCTGTGACTTCCTGTTACTTACATGGCAATAAAAATGATTCTGAAATCAGGGTTGGTGGAAACAGGGCTTTAAGTACCCCAGTTTTAACAGCAGGTCCCCAGACAATAACATGGATAATAGTCATAATAAACTGTCTAAATCTGCTTCAGTCATTTTGTTAAATCATTATAATTTAACCTTGTCATTTGGGATGTTATGTTGCATGTGTTGATGCATGTTATTGCCAATGCTAACAGTAGCTAAAGTTGCAGTAGCTAGCCCGTAGCTAGCGCAGCTGCAGGTCAGACTGAGGACTGTTCATGGACGAAGGGTAAAAGGACTTCCTCAACATTCTACTTCATAAAACACAACGAACACAGCACAAAGGTCTTACCCAAGAAGCGAACCCATGTGTCCCGATAGATGTCCACGGCTTTGGGCGGGATTTCTTCGGAGGAGCCCATTTCTTGCTTTACTCCATTCCCCGATGCTATTTTTACAGTAGAGTTGGAGTGTAGTGAAACTGTACCGTCAGAGGAGTCCGTGAAGGAGGCGCGGCCACAGCGCACCCACCGCCGCTCTCTAGTGGCAGGATGAGGGTACTGCAGGTCTGTGCGGAGCTCGGACAAAATCACGTTTTAGCTTTAAAATTAAGTATCCGAGAGAGGAATTACAACAGAGACATCTTGGCTGTGAGGAGAGGTCATAGCACATCGATTATTGGGTTTATTTAGGGGCAAGTAGGTTTCATGAAAGATGAAAAGAAGAAAAGACACACATATAACAAAGCGCCTAGAGTTGTGCATTTTCATCAGGGGCCCCTTGTAGAGGGCATCACATTGAATGTAGTCGCAATGGTTAAAACAAGTGAAATTCAAAACATTAGCATTGATTAAAGAAATACAGAAAACCACAGAACTGGACGAAGGTGTTGGGGAGACTGGTCATGTGACTGGTTTTGAGTCTGGGTTAAAACAGGAAGAGAGTCCGTGTTTTGAAAGTCAGGAACACAAGCTTTAACAACGTTTATTATTTATTTTCTTAGCCATTCATCAAACTAGCGCTGGCGTGATTGACAGCCAAACGGACCAATCAGAGCGGGCCGTGTAGATGCCTGGTCCAATAGGCACGTCTCCTTCTCGGAGGTGGGCTCTGGTCTGCACCGCTATGGCCGCTTCCAGCCGCAGGAGAGGTGTCTGTCCATCTGAAAAGCCGTGGAGCAGATGTCTCTCTCTCCACAGAATGTACGTGACTCTCTTTACGTTCACGCTTCTGTGTTTGCACTGGAGCCGCTGCTCCTCCGACGACGACCACGAAATGGAGGAGTTTTTAAAGCGAGAGTTCTCCCTGTCAAAGCCTTACCAAGGTACTGCCTCTGCGCGGTCTCCTGCCGACTTCTATCAATGTGTTCGCGGCTCAAAGTCTTTCAAATGTTTCTAGTTTCCGTCTTTGGTATTTGACAAATGTTTGACTGGGCCAGTGATGGGAAAACCCCGGCCCGCGGGCTGTTTGTGGTCCTTTGGACGTGTCTATTGGGCCTTGATCCTTCCTCAGTTTGTATAAATATAGTGAAAGGACCAGGGGTGTCAAACCAGTCCTTATAGGACCAGTGTGGCTGCAGGACTTCATTCCAACCAAGCAGGAGCAGGACACTCCACCCATTTCCTCCCAGTCTTGTGCTAGTTTTATTCTTTCTGCAACATTGGAGCCATTTTTAAGATTTTCAGAGCTCAAAGTGTCATAGAAATATGTCAAAATGTCAATATCACACCAGCTCCGTGGATAGTGGGGCGACAGTGGCTCAGTTGGTAGAGCGTTGGCCTTTGCACCTGAAGATTGTGGGTTTGAGCCCACTGCGAGACCCACTGATGTTGTTGTGTCCTTGAGCAAAACCCCTAACCGGCTTTGACTATAAGGACCGCAGAAGTAATATTTGCTGCTTTCCTTGATGTGTGTGTGAGTTCATCAAACTGGAAATTCCCCACTGTGGGATGCGTATATAGGACCTTTTTATAGTCATTAAAAAGTAATTTTACAGATATTGCGCAAAGGGCCCGACCTGAGGATTCATATCAATATAGCTTTGTATTCAGTTATTTCAAAAATACACAGATCAAAAGTATGGCAGTAAAATGCATCTGAGAACTGTGGGGATGGGAAAATGAATAAATGTAACATATGTGAATAAACCTGAAAACTTGAGGAAATGGGTGGAGTCTGAGCAGACTATAAATGCCCCTGTGCTCCTCGCTCTGCTGCTCGTTCTGGTCAGGGACTAGCTCCACAGTTCCACCCTGTTTCTAAAGACTGTTGTCCTTTAATCAATGCGGTATAACACAAAGGGGCTCCTGATGATGATGATGAGGAGGAGGAGGAGGAGGCGGAAGATGATGATAAGAACGGGGATGATGATGATAACGAGGATGATGATGATAACGAGGATGATAACGAGGAGGAGGAGGAGGAGGAGGAGGATGATGATGAGCAATGTGTTAGAGCTGTAATGGACAGAGGACACCAAAGTACTAGTTGTATGTACTTAAGTAAAAGTTTAGTACACTGTAAACCCTAACTTCAATCGTACTCCAGATATCAAAGTTATTTTAAATAGATTTTTCCCAGTAAGTAAATATTACTCATTTATTGTTAGTTTATTTAAAGCTTGGCGATATCAGGATTTTCTTTGAATTGAACTGTCTCTTTTCAAGTAAGCCTCACTTTTGACATTTTGACGTTTAGACTCTTTAATAAAGCAGGTGTGTTAATGACGGGCGGCCCAGTGGCTGAGTGGGTAGCACCCTTGCCTCCTGACTGCAAGGTGCAGTCAAGGTGCAAGTTGAAAACTTGCACCTTAAATTTCAACTTGACTGCAAGGTGCAAGTTGAAATTTAAACTTTATTTCACTTGAGTTTACTTGGTAATATCAAGTTAAGGATGTTCTCGAGGAATTCAAGTGAAGTTAATACGCAATTTATTTCCAAGGTTTTTTCAAGTAAACTTTACTTGTCAGGGTTTACAGTGTATTAAAATCACTGGTAAAAGTATAAATGTACAAGCTTTTGTAGTACGTTAGGGAAAGAAAAAGGTTTGGAACATAACTTTAGTAAGTAATATCATTATTCTACATGTTGTAAGCATTGGTTTTGAAACACATGAACATAAATAATACTTTGTTTGGACTCTACACGTTTTTATTTATTTTCCAGATCATTTCCCGCAGACACAGTGAATAGAAATAAATGTGTAAAATACAAACACAAAGTGAAATACTGTTGTATCAGTTTGTACATCAGTAAATATGAATATTCTCTCTTCATTTATCTTAAAGTTTATATATATTATAATTACATGTATATATCCTTGTGCGCAGGTGTGGGCTCTTTAGGCTCCTCCCACTGGGAGCTGATGGGAGACGCCATGATCACCACAGAGCAGGTGCGCCTCACGTCTGACATGCAGAGCAGACAGGGGGCAGTGTGGAGCCGCACGGTAAGAACCACCTGTACATCTGTCAGAGACTTATGGAACTGTCTTCCTGAAAGTGTGAGACAGGCTTCTACTCTGATAATGTTCAAGAACTGTGCACTCTCGCCTCTCAGCCAGAAGGTCCTGGGTTCGATTCCCGGTCGGACCAGGGCCTTTCTGAGTGGAGTTTGCATGTTCTCCCCGTGTCTGCGTAGGTTTCCTCCGGGTACTCCGGTTTCCCCTACCACTAAAAATATGTACAATAGGTCTGGCATGCGCCTCCTGTTCGGCGACCCCGCTCCCATCTCTGTGTGGAGTGAGAGACAAGTGCCCAAAAATAACAATTGTAAACCGCTTTGTGACTCTGGTCTGTGAAAGGCGCTATATAAATAAAGATTACTTACTTACTTGTTGTGTGTGAACTGTGCTATACCAAAAAACTCTCCTTGAATAATAAAATGGTCTTGTCTCTTGCAGCCGTGTGATCTTAAAGACTGGGAAATGCAAGTGCACTTTAAAATCCACGGCCAAGGAAAGAAGAACCTGAACGGAGACGGTCTGGCCGTGTGGTTCACCAAGGACCGGATGCAGAAAGGTCTGAGCAGTTTCTGATGTTAGCTAACAGTATCGTTCTAATGTTAGCATTTGAAGCTAACAGTGTAATATTCTAATGTTAGCATTTGAAGCTAACAGTATCGTTCTAATGTTAGCATTTGAAGCTAACAGTCTTGTTCTAATGTTAGCATTTGAAGCTAACAGTCTCGTTTTAATGTTAGCATTTGAAGCTAACAGTCTCGTTCTAATGTTAGCATTTGAAGCTAACAGTATCGTTCTAATGTTAGCATTTGAAGCTAACAGTATCGTTCTAATGTTAGCATTTGAAGCTAACAGTCTCGTTCTAATGTTAGCATTTGAAGCTAACAGTCTCGTTTTAATGTTAGCATTTGAAGCTAACAGTCTCGTTCTAATGTTAGCATTTGAAGCTAAAATTGTCGTTCAAATGTTAGCATTTGAAGCTAACGGTGTCGTTCTAATGTTAGCATTTGAAGCTAACAGTGTTGGTCTAATGTTAGCATTGTGGGTGGCAGGTCCAGTGTTTGGGAACAAGGACAACTTCACGGGTCTGGGAGTGTTTGTCGATACTTATCCCAACGAGGAGAAACATCTGGAGGTTTGTTTTCTGTGACATTATTATTATTAAACACAACATGAAAAGGAAATATCACATTAACTGATAGAATTCACGAAGTAACTGGAACAAATATTCAAAACTTTATTTTTTTTTAAAAACTCATTCTCTTCCGTGAAAGGCCCAGAAGAAACGATACACTCCACGGACTGAGGTAACTCTTACTGTTGAAACAAACTGGTCTCTCTCTCTCTTGTCTATCTTTGATTTCTCTCTCTGGTCTCTCTCTGGTCTCTCTCTCTGGTCTCTCTCTCTCTTGTCTATCTTTGATCTCTCTCTCTGGTCTCTCTCTCTCTTGTCTATCTTTGGTCTCTCTCTGGTCTCTCTCTGGTCTCTCTTGTCTATCTTTGGTCTCTCTCTCTGGTCTCTCTCTCTCTTGTCTATCTTTGGTCTCTCTGGTCTCTCTCTCTCTTGTCTATCTTTGGTCTCTCTCTGGTCTCTCTCTCTGGTCTCTCTCTCTTGTCTGTCTTTGGTCTCTCTCTCTGGTCCCTCTCTGGTCGCTCTGTGGTCTCTCTCTGGTCTCTCTTCTCTCTCTGTTCTCTCTATCTGGTCTCTCTCTTATTGTTGATAGAAATGATAACAAACTGACCACATTTATTGTTGCACAAAGAGGATTTTCCCGTATGTTTTGGCGATGGTTGGTAACGGCAGCGTGAGCTACGACCACGAGAGAGACGGTCGCCCCACGGAGCTCGGCGGCTGCACCGCGATGGTGCGAAACCTCAAACACGACACGTTCTTGTTCATACGATACGTCAGCCGCCGCCTCACGGTGAGACAGACTCTCTCTCTTTCTGGTCTCTATGTGGTCTCTCTCTTTGGTGTTTTTGGTGTCTCTCTCTGGTCTTTCTCTGGTCTCACTGTTCTCTCTCTGTGTTCTCTCTCTGTGGTCTCTCTTTGGTCTCTCTCTCTCTGGTCTCTCTCTGTTCTCTCTATGTGGTCTCTCTCTGTTCTCTCTCTGTGGTCTCTCTCTCTGTGGTTAACCAGCACTTCTTCTCAGGTGATGATAGACATAGAGGGACAGCATGAGTGGAGAGACTGCCTGGACGTCCCGGGGGTGCGCCTCCCTCTGGGATACTACTTCGGAGCCTCAGCTCTGACCGGAGACCTCACAGGTGAGACCTCACAGGTGAGACCTCACAGGTGAGACCTCACAGGTGAGACCTCACAGGTGAGACCTCACAGGTGAGACCTCACAGGTGAGACCTCACAGGTGAGACCTCACAGGTGAGACCTCACAGGTGAGACCTCACAGGTGAATCCTACTGTACTGCAGAAGGGTGTCCAAGCTGAGGCCCGCGGACCAACTGCGGCCCTCTGTGTGTTTGTATATGGCCCTCCTCAACTCTGACAACACAGGCTTGTTATACCTCTTGTTTCTCTGGTCTCTTTCTGGTCTCTCTCTGATCCCTCTCTCTCGAGTCTCTCTCTGATCCCTCTCTCTCGAGTCTCTCTCTGATCCCTCTCTCTCGAGTCTCTCTCTGATCCCTCTCTCTCAGGTCTCGCTATATCTTCTCTCGCTAGTCTTTTTCTCTGATCACTCTAGTTTCTCTCTATCTGGTCTCTCTCTGGTTTCTGTGTGGTTTCTCTCTGTGGTTAACCAGCACCTCTCTCTCTCTGGTCTCTCTCTGGTCTCTCTCACATATTAACCCTAACTTCTGCCTCTCAGACATCCATGACATCATCTCTATGAAGCTCTATCAAATCACAGTCCTGAGTAAAAAGAGTCAGGACGAAGAGGATGAAGACGAGATAACGATACCGAGTGTGGACAACTTTGAGCTGCTCCGAGGTGAGAGCTGGATCCGGAGCATGACCCGGAGCTGGACCCGGAGCTGGATCCGGAGCTGGACCCGGAGCTGGACCCGGAGCTGGATCCGGAGCTGGACCCGGAGCTGGATCCGGAGCTGGACCCGGAGCTGGATCCGGAGCTGGACCCGGAGCTGGATCCGGAGCTGGATCCGGAGCTGGATCCGGAGCTGGAGCTGGATCCGGAGCGGGACCCGGAGCTGGACCCGGAGCTGGACCCGGAGCTGGACCCGGAGCTGGATCCGGAGCTGGACCCGGAGCTGGACCCGGAGCTGGACCCGGAGCTGGACCCGGAGCTGGACCCGGAGCTGGACCCGGAGCTGGACCCGGAGCTGGACCCGGAGCTGGACTTGTTTGTGACGGATGGTTCTGTTTGCAGTGCCAGAGAGCGAGGAGAGGATGAGCAGTGTGGCCATCTTCTTCACCGTGCTCTTCTCCATGGTCGGCTGTGTCTTTCTCATCGTGGTCGGGCTATTGGTCTACGGCCACTGGAGCGAGACCAGACGCAAACGCTTCTATTGACCATAACGAGTCTGTCTCTCTGGTCTCTGTCTGATCCCTCTCTCTGGTCGCTCTCTGGTCTCTCTCGCTCTTGCCTCTCTTTGGTCTCTCTCGCTCTGGTCTTTCCCTCTGGTCTCTCTTTCTCTCTGTGATCTCTCTCCCTCTGGTCTGTCTCTCTCTCCCTCTCTCTGTGGTCCCTCTGGTCTCTCTTTCTCTCTGGCCTCTCTCTCTCTGGTCTCTCTCTTGATGGTGGGCTGTGTCTTTCTCATCGTAGTCAGGTTACTGGTCGACAGTCACTCAAACGAGACCAGATGCAAACGCTTCTATGGACCATAACGAGACCGGAGGACTGGACCCTGCGGCTTTTACAAATATGAAGAGAATGTTTGTTTTTTTACCCTGAGTTTTTTACATTTATTTATAATGTTTTGCACGTTGTTCCCATTATTTTGACTCCCATAGTTTTTATGGACACAGGAAGCATGTTTATTGTCAACACAGATTAGAATTAGTGCTGTCAAACTATTAGAATATTAAATGGGCAGCGCAGAGAATGTCTTGGGTTCTGCTCGTGTAGGTTTCCTCCAGGCGCTCCAGTTCAGTCTACCACTAAAAACATGTGCAATAGGTAAAAATCCTCCAGCTCTGGATCTGTTAGGCCGACTCTGGAGATGGTCCAAGGGGCTGCCGATAGAGGCCCTAGTGACGTATTTAAACTTATAAATATAGAGAATCATTATTATTATAGAAAGTTGGGTCAAATGCAGAGGACAAGTTTCCCTTTGGGCAAAATGAATCTCACATTTGTAGTTGTTCTAAATGTCCCTTGATTTGGGCTGAGACCTGGAGATGGTCTGTACCGATGGTCCTTCTGAATCTGAACCCCTCGCACAGTGGCGTGTGTTGCTGCTTCTGAGACTCGCCCGTGGTAGAAGCCTGGAGCACGAAGCACGACAACAACCAGGCCCTCGTCAGCCCAAAACATGACCCATGCATTTTTTATTATCCTTTCAGTCCAAACACAGGAAGTATGTTTGTGCCGCTGGTCTTTGACTCTGGCGCCACACGTCCACAACTCTTTGACAAAAGGAGACATGGATTCTGGAAACCGTAGATTTTGTCCTTGCTGCCGTTGTTTTGCTTCAGGTCGAGCTGCGTTCGGAGCCGTGTTGTAGTTTTCTGACGTTATCGGTTGTTGTAACAGCAGCTGGAAAAACATTAATCGCCCGAAAAATGTATTGACACCTTCAAAATGTGTTATCGCCGTTAATAACTAATAACTGACAGCACTAATTATAATAGATTATTTTCTTTATTCAGCGGGTGCGGCTTATACACAGGTGAGCTTTATAGTCCAAGTACCACATCTGTAAGAGAATAATGAAATACTTTCTACGATGGGATGTTTGTTTACACAGAAACTTCAGAGTCGTGGTAGTTTGGGGCTTCAACGATTTAATTTATTTATACTTATGTATTTATTTATTTAAACAATAAATTATTTATTACAATAAATGTACAACGTCTTGTTTATGAATGTTTTGTGTAGTTCGTCTTTTAAACGTCATTTTTTAATGTAAACAGGAGGATTTTATGAAAGAACCGCCCTCTCACACAATCTCTGGTCTTATTGGACTTTCACGAGAATGATTGACATTTGGGAGGACCAATAGTCTTTGATCCATCCGGAAGTAGAAAATACTCCTATAGACCTTTAACATCACTTAGTGGTGTGTGTTGACATTACTCACTGACCTGAGAGTCCAACTAATGGTTTTACACTGGTCCAGAGCAGAGAGGATTCATGGTTCTACACTGGTCCAGACCAGAGCAGAGAGGATTCATGGTTCTACACTGGTCCAGACCAGAGCAGAGAGGATTCATGGTTCTACACTGGTCCAGACCAGAGCAGAGAGGATTCATGTTTTTACCCTGGTCCAGACCAGAGCAGAGAGGATTCATGGTTTTACACTGGTCCAGACCAGAGCAGAGAGGATTCATGGTTCGAACCAAGCGGCTCCACCTCTGCTGCTGTGACCTGAAGAACTGTTATTGTTAGCATCTAAGAATGATCAATTCTATTTAATTTTTGCTGCTCTGGACGCCTGAATTTCTCCAACAGGGATCAGTAAGGTATCAAGAAAGTGCAAACATACAGTTGTTGAAAATCAATGCTTTTATTAAAAAAATAGAATACAAATGATGACCTAAAGAGTACACAGCAGACTCAGTGCTTCCAGCTTCAGAGAATAGATGGGTTCAGTCTTCCTCTCCCACGTTAGCCGAGGCATCTGGTCGTTTGGGCAAAACCATGGCACATATGTCACTCAAAGGTTTCTGGATCCAAAACTGTGGGGACTTTCAGAGATCACAAATGTCGCTGTGTTCAGGGTTGAGGTCGTTCATGTGTATAATAAACGTGTGTTAGTGGTAGAATAAGTGAGGAATAAAAGGCAACAGTTAGATATTCATTCTGTGATTATGACTGAAGACAAAACACTCCATGAAAGTCAAACTAAATCATCTTTACTAAATCTGACAAAACATATGGTTATCACAGTCAACAAAAAACTATCTACCCCCGATACAACCAAAAACATGGCCTCCCCACATTCCGCAGGCTCGAGCACATCCACAGGAAACTACAGTCACTAGAAAGTTCTGTTGCTACGACTCAGAAACAGACGAAGAGTGCAGCATATAACAGTTTTTGCATAGCCTCGAATATGGAGCGATGAAAGATACAAGAGGGTTTCAGATCCAGACTATGAAAGACCTTTGGCTTATCGTGTGAGGAGCACAGTCCAAGCTCTCCTTGAGTCCAATTTCCTGAGCGTGAGACAATAGCCTCGTTCCCACCAGCCCGGCTCGGCTGCGTTTCCATTACGGATTAGCATCTGTTGTCATATTTTAACAATCTACAACAATCCAGAGCGGTGGCACAGCAGTTGGTGCTTGTGCGTCACTGCAAGAAAGTCCTGGGATCAAAACCACCTCCAGGCCTTTCTTGGTCGGGTTTGCATGTTCTCTCCATGTCTGCGTAAGCTTCCTCCAGGTGCTACGGTTACCATCAAAAACATGCACATTAGCCCCTCATAATACCCTCTCGGACCCCACTACCTATCCCTGTACTAGGGCCAGGACTCCCCCCTGATAAAATATATTCTGAAAAAGAGAGAGATTCTGAAAAGTTAATGGTCTCACTGTCCTGGTTTAATAAAGCTTGAAGAAACATAATAAACCAGTGTCCGGGGAAATTCCTTGGTAGCCATGGCTTCCAGCAGCACTCTGGCCAATCACTGTCAGTTAGAACACTTTAGCACCAGCTCGGCCTGGACAGAACCGGGACCAAGAGGGACTAAAGAAGGACCTGGTACTGGTTACACAAGACCAGAGTAGAGGTGGGGCTGGTGGAAACGGGGCCAATGAGACATGAAAAGGACACGCTGGTTTGGACCATGTGGTCAAACCGTGCTCATAGAAGTCAAACTGGGAGAATGGGTCAAAAGAATCTTTTACTAAACTCACAAATGGTAAATCTCTGATGGCACTTAAATAACACGGACAGGAAAACATAAAAGAAGGTGGTATAGCCCTTGTTCTGGGTAAACTTGTCATTTATAAACCCAAAAGTACACATCGACCTGTCAGGCTTTTTTTTTTATATATAAAAAAAAAAAACATTTACTCGTCAGAAAGAGAACAATCAAAAATCCGCAGAAAGCAGTTAAACAATAGAAAGTCTTAAATGTCTCTCCTCAATTTGAGACGCTGTGAGAAGCCACATCCTGTTCCACCACAGAAACCTCTCACATTCAACATGGCCTCCTCCTACAGTAGTCTAAATACCTGTTTGCACCAGCTCGGCTCTACTCGGCTCTGTTTCCATTACACTTTAGTATTTGGTGCCATGATCTAGCAACCCACTCACAACCAGTATCTGGGGAAATTACTTGCTAACCACCCTTCAACTGCCACTTAGCATCTTTCAGCAGGTACTACAAAGGTATCTAGCACTGGTTAAACATGGCCAGTGGAAACACTCCCAATCGGTGTAGAGTTGGGCCGAGTAGGGCTGGTGGAAACAGGGTTAAAATGGTCACAACTGGGGCCAGAGAATTCAGTCACTTTTAAATTACTCCAAACAGACCTTATAAATTGGGCTCATTCTTTGTGATATTTAAATTACATTTTAATCTGTACTTTTAATATTTTGGTGATGTTTTGTATTCAAATGTGAGGCGTCCTTGAGTAAAAAAGCGCCACTAAATACAATTCATTATTATTACCGTTTTGTATTTTTTCTGCTGGTTTTCGGGTGATCATTTTGAAAACATTAACCAACAAGGCATTTTTCACTCTGTAAAAAATAAGATCCAGGTTCTGCGAGCCGTACGTATGACCGACAGAGACGAAGTGAGATTCTAATAATGCCCGTGGCGGTTCACGACTTCTGGGAATCCCACACACACTTGTAGTTTCATAGAACTTGCTGTGCTATAAAAGGCACATCTTTGTACAAACCGCAACAGTAGAATTTAAAGAGAAAGTAAATGTTCACATACAGGCTGTGTTTTTATGTTAGTAATGTAACACGTGACCAACAGCGGATGGAGCAAAACAAGATGATGGACCGTTATAACTGGGTTTAATGGCAAGGTGAGGATCAAAGCATTCTGGTCTATTTGGACAACATTCCCACTAAAACTCTGAGTCAAAATATTAACTTTGCTCTGACAACAGTCCAGATCACATAAAAAACATGTTTGTGTATTTCCTCATCTCTCTGCTATTCACATAATCACACTGAAGCAGGAATGTGTGCTACATCCTCATCGATCAACGGCGGATAGAGATCTTCCAAATGCCCTTCCCACACTCCAGGGGGCGCTCTAACTAACTAAATATACATACAATAGTTGCGTTGCTGTACAAAAAACAGGGTTAAAATAAATTGGAAAAAGTAGCGGCTTAAATAGTCCAGCAAGTTCTGTAATTAACTACAAAGACGAGTGTTCAGGCCATTCCCAGTGATGTCCGTGTCAAAAAGTAGGAACATTCATGTTTTTGTGGGAGTGGGATATTGGTCATGCATTTCTGAAATAGTGAAGCAAAGACGACAGGCTCGCAACAGCTGTGGGAAAAGAAATAATCAAAACCTCATTCTGCAACCCATGGAAAACACCACAGCTCATGGGCCTCAGCCGGACCAGAGAGGGTCGAGCCCATGGTTACCAGGTGCCGGTGTTAAAGTACGAACGGAAAATGTGCCCAAAAAAAAGTTCTGGATGCGAGTAAACCCACAATCCACTACTGACGTCCCCCACAAGGTTTACTTTATACAAACATCACGTCAACAATAGCATCGATAGCCCTGTTTCCACCAGTCCTGCTTGGCTCTACTCGGCCCTACTCTCCCCTGATTGGGAGCGCTTCCACAGGTTCCGTTTAACTGGTACCAGGTGCTTTTTTAGTTCCTGCATGGACCTGGTTCTGTCCAGGCTGAGCTGGTACTAAAGTGTCAAAAATGCTGCACAAATACTGGAGTGTGATGGAAACACAACCAGGTAGAGTAGAGTAGAGTAGGGCCAATGAGGGCCAGTGGAAACAGGGCTAACTACTCAGATGACATGTCTAAAGCACAGGTGGTTCACGTATCAAAAAAATTGTCCGTCGGGCGTTTGAGCGGCTGATCCAGGCGACACGGCTCACAAACAAACCATCAAAGCCGCCAAAAGGCTTTTATTGGTTAGAAGTCATGGCGCCCCCTGCAGGACAAAGCCAGATCCTGTCAGACCTGTGAAGCTAAGCAGGGCAGGGCCTGGTTAGTGCTGTGACGTGAGAGCCCTGGGAACACCAGGTGCCACTGTGGGGCGGCTGTGGCTGTAAAGTACCAGACTGTGGTTGTGTCCTTAGGCAAGACACTTCCCCCACATTAGAATGGTTGGTGGTGGTGGGAGGGGCCGATAGCACAGACTGTCCATTAAAGCACTGTATAATCCAATACATTATTATTATTATTATTATTATATGAATTCCGTAGCAGATGGAATCTTCTTTCTCACTCCACATGGATGAACTCCGTTGCTTTCGATACATTAAAAAACGTACAAAAACCGACCACTCAAAACTCATTGTTGAATGTCAGAAAGTTAAGCAAAGGGGCAAGAATATCATACAACAAAACAAAAAGTCTAGAATAAGTGGTTTTTCTGTTTTGGGGGTAACCTTGGATGTGGTTTTGGGCAGATGCTGGCGATATCCTCATTCACAAGTCGTTCATGTAAGCGCTCATAAAAAGTCTTACGGCGAGAAGTACAAGTTCCTCCTGCTCCTGTGTGTTCATCAAGGGTTTTGTCCAAGCCTGTTTCCCTTTGATACGTCGTAGAAGAAAAGTATGGGACGATTTGGCAAACTTCAAAAGTCAGGCAGCTCGTCGAGTAGAAATGTTTGGGATCAGGACTTCAGCTGAAACCAGACGCTGCTTCAGGAGAGGGAGGTTGCAAGAAATTCTCCAATCAATGTTAGTTTCAAAAATGTTTCCAGAGCCCCATTTCCACTCACCCTACATGGCCCAACTCTACTCTACTCAGATCTACTCTATTTCTAACCCACTTGGTCCTATCTGACAGTGATTGATAGGATACCAGTATTTCCATGGATACTGGTTTGTTGTGGGTAGGTTGCTAGGATACGGTACAAGCCTAATGGAAACGCAACCAGGTAGAACAGAGCCGAGTAGAGTAGAGCAGAGCAAAATAGAGTAGGGGCTGGTGGAATCGAGGCTGTTAAACCAAAAAAAGCAGTACAAATATTTGCATTTTTTTTCTATTTTTCTCATTTTTTTTTACATCAAAGGCAAAATAACATGGTCAAAGATAGTCTTCCCTCTCATCCTTAAAGTTTCACGTCAATTGCCATGACCCCCCGTGGTGGTTCCGCAGCTGGTCTAATCTACAGGACCAGGGAGCGGCTTCAGAAGAGCTCACACCATGTGGTCTGCGGAGCTGGTGCCGTGGCCTGGGACCTCAGCCTGATGGTCCTTGGGGATGAAGGGCTGCCTCTGCTGTCGGGCCGAGCAGTAGTCTCCGGTCGCGGTGCACATGCGGTCGTCATCGCTGTCCTCGTCTGCGTCCACCTCGCACACGCACACCTCGATCCCAGAATCACCGGTGACGTGACGGCGCCGAGTGTTGAGCTCCTCATCGTCCTCCGCGGCTCCGGACGCTGGTTCCGGACCGGACTCTGGGCTAGACGCTGAGCCGGGTTCAGGACCAGACTCGGGCCCGGAGGCTGCGTCTCCCTGAGCTAACGCAGAAGTCTCTGTCTCCACGGTCTCTGCGTTTACCTGCAGCTGCTGTGGAGCCACCTGCGCACCATCCGGGGGGGTCTCTGAATATGGGGGTGGGGGTGTTGGGGGGTGGCCCACGACCTCTTCATAGTCAGGAAGTTTGCAGTCATTCCAAAACCCTAGAGAAACACACAAAGCAATACATATGTCACTTACATTACATACATACATACATGCTGTGCTACAACTGAGGTAATTTATGTTCTGTCTTTTTAGTAATGTAAGTAGTAATGTTTATCTATATAGCGCATTTTACAGACGTAGGTCACCCAAAGCACTTTACAATGTTCGGATATTGTTCCAATCATTCAACACACGGTGATGACAGAAGGGAGTCGCCGAACACACTGGACAATCAGCTCCAATCAACACCATCCATTCACTCACTCATTACATTCAGAACTATTGTTTATTTTAGTGGTAGGGGAAACCGGAGCACCCGGAGGAAACCTACGCAGACACAGGGAGAAGATTCAAACTTCACTCAGAAAGGACCTGTTCCGACCGGGATTCGAAGCCAGGACCATCTTGAGAAGCGAGAGTGCCCAGACCCAATGGCTGAGTGGATAGCAATTTTTAATGTACTTTGATTATTCATGATGTTAATACTTTTGAGTTGCCTTGTATGAATTGTGCTTTATAAATAAATGTGCCTTGCCTAACACCAGGTGTACCTGCAGCTGGGCCTTCGACACCCTGCATCACATACTCACAGGAGGTCTCCGTCTCCTTCCCTTTACCGTGATCAGAAACACAGTATAAAAGAAAACATACTACTCTTACTCAGATTAAGCGGAGGAGGAGAGATGAAGGAACTGGAGGCTCCCTGGTAGGCCATCAGGCTGATCTCCCGCTGACGCTGCTCCTGCTGTAAACGCATCTTGACTCTTCTGTGGCGATAGGCACAACAGCAGCTCAGCATGATGATCAGAGTCCAAACGAGCCAGAACCCTGCGGGAAAACAAGCCTTTTCTCAATCCACAATATTCCCATATGAGCAGAACCATGCTTAAAACGTCAGGATCTACAGCCTCAGTCCTGGGTCTACCGCCTCAGTCCTGGGTCTACCGCCTCAGTCCTGGGTCTACCGCCTCAGTCCTGGGTCTACCGCCTCAGTCCTGGGTCTACCGCCTCAGTCCTGGGACTACGGCCTCAGTCCTGGGACTACGGCCTCAGTCCTGGGACTACGGCCTCAGTCCTGGGACTACGGCCTCAGTCCTGGGACTACGGCCTCAGTCCTGGGACTATGGCCTCAGTCCTGGGTCTACCGCCTCAGTCCTGAGTCTACCGCCTCAGTCCTGGGACTACGGCCTCAGTCCTGGGTCTACAGCCTCAGTCCTGGGTCTACAGCCTTAGTCCTGGGTCTACGGCCACAGTCCTGGGACTACGGCCACAGTCCTGGGACTACGGCCACAGTCCTGGGTCTACGGCCTCAGTCCTGGGTCTACAGCCTCAGTCCTGGGACTACCGCCTCAGTCCTGGGACTACCGCCACAGTCCTGGGTCTACAGCCTCAGTCCTGGGTCTACGGCCTCAGTCCTGGGTCTACGGCCTCAGTCCTGGGACTACGGCCTCAGTCCTGGGTCTACGGCCTCAGTCCTGGGTCTACAGCCTCAGTCCTGGGTCTACAGCCTCAGTCCTGGGACTACCGCCTAAGTCCTGGGACTACGGCCACAGTCCTGGGTCTACGGCCTCAGTCCTGGATCTACAGCCTCAGTCCTGGGTCTACAGCCTCAGTCCTGGGTCTACAGCCTCAGTCCTGGGTCTACAGCCTCAGTCCTGGGTCAACAGCCTCAGTCTCTGATCTGTTGGAGAGGAATCAAAATCCTCTGATGGGAGTTAGACACAAATTTAATGAACTGAAATTAAACTAAAACCTTTTTTAGACCATTCATCGTTCAGAGATGGGGCACAGGACCTGATGTGGGGTAAATACTCACACCAAAGTTCATAGTAGTAGGTGCAGCATTCTGTTTCTCCGCAGCAGTAGCCCATCTCACAGCGATACTGCTCATTGTTGACCCCAAAACAGAACTCCTTCGCCTGGAAAAAAACAGGACAGACGTGGCATCAGAGAAGAGGATAATGTGCTCTCAAAACTACATGCATGTAGAAGGTTCAAATTATTATGATTAAGCTATTCTAGTTATGGTTGTATTTTATTCTTATGAATAATTAATTAATTTTGTGAAATGTTTTGTGAAATATAATGGCGTTATTATTAAATTAACCTAACTCTGTGACACTCAGATGGAGCACACATCCTGGACTTTCACAGCTCCTGCCAGAGCCCACATTTAGCTCTGAATAAACACTACCCGGATGTAGCCAAAGCTAATCTTTGTGTCTGATTAAAGTCGGTTAATCGCTGAAACCATGAGTCTGATACATTCTCATGGTCTATATTTTTCCTCAAATATCCAGATATGGTCCAGGGCTGACGTCACGCTCGGGTGTTACTGCCGTGTCTTTGTGGAGGACACGGCTCCGGCTGCGGCCTTCCCCAGCCCCAGTCCCCGGTGTTTCCTGTTTGTGTCCCCGGCCCGGAGAGCCCTCGGCCGGCTTACCTGCACCAGACAGGCCCCGGCCCAGAACAGAACTACAACGGGTCCCAGCGCTTTCTGCGGCATCTCTCCGGGTTCACGGCCTCCAACGCCACGGGAATCATAAAGCTAGTCCTGGGGAAACACTGTGGAGGCAGAGACTGAAGCGGCTGTGTCCGGGAGGCGGCGCTTACACAGAGTGTCCAGAGGGGGCGCTGTGCCGCTGTCGGCTGGTATCACGGCCCAAACACCAGCAGAGTTTGTTGTTGTTGTTTGTTAAAGTATGGATTTATAAAAAACCGAAGAATTTAACAAGGAATAAAGTTGAACAAAGGACACTAAAATCCACAGAATAGTTCTTTATGGATGCTGTAGGTTCTCTGTCGTGGGTGGGGGGATATAAGCTATTAATACTCTATCCGCAGATCCATGAGGACTCCCAAAGCTGTCAATTTGACGGCTTTTAGTTTTAAAAGTATAATTACTGGGTTATGTGTGTGACTGGCCGTGACTTTGTGAAGTTTTCTGTGTATAGCATAATTCTATTCTTTATTTTGTGAAATTATATTTTACATTTGAAATGTAAATATTGCTAATTACCATAAAAACAGACCGTTTACTGTATTCAGCAGTTTAGCGTTAGCATTTTCTCATTCTTTATTTAACTGTTTTATGCTGTACTTATTTATTTTCACCAGCTTCTTGCACTTACTAAAAGTAAAACTTGTTTATGGATGGTGAGAGAATGAGTAAGATACGGATGGGGCTGGTATGGTTTCTCCTAAATGCACCAGAAGATTTTAGTTTCAGAAAAAAAAGATAAAGGAGAAGGAGAAAAAGTATTTATCATCTCCACTTCTTCCTTTTTCAGTCCTGAGTAACTTGTAATGTCTTCTTCTCTCCGCTAGAGGTCGCCCTTGCTTTCTCAGTCAGCGCCAACACCGTCCTCTACGCACCAAACAGTTTTTCTATTTCAATTTGACTAAATCTCAATGCCTTTTTTAGGTAAAGTTTATTTGTATATCACAGTTCATAAACAAGACATGTCTAAAAGCTGAACAAAACAAGACACAAAGAATCACACAGTAAATAAATAATCACAGCTAATTAACAAAAATAAAGATACAATCCTTCAGTTGTTGCAGAAACAGAACTGTTTTAACCTGGATTTGAACATTGTCAGAGAAGAAGTCTGTCTCACATTTTCAGGAAGACTGATTTAAGATGACAGATGTTAGCAGAGTGAATCTGAAAAGCTGCCTCCACATGTTTAGTCCTGACTCTGGGACCAGCAGGAGACCAGTCCCTGTGCTCCTCAGAGTCCCAGCAGGAGGCCAGTCCCTGTGCTCCTCAGAGTCCCAGCAGGAGGCCAGTCCCTGTGCTCCTCAGAGTCCCAGCTGAAGGCCAGTCCCTGTGGTCCTCAGAGTCCCAGCAGGAGGCCAGTCCCTGTGGTCCTCAGAGTCACAGCAGGAGGCCAGTCCCTGTGCTCCTCAGCTTCATATGACCCTAACATGTTCTTGTGTCTGATGTCAACAAATCCACATAATCTTTACACATCTCTCTTTCACCATTTTCCTTTTTAGACGTTTCTGTTTTTCCCCATTTTTCTCCTGGTTTATCTCCTGTGGAACCAAACGCAGTAATCTTTAGCGACCAACTGCTCCGGATCCTCTGGTTTGCATTTCCACACAACCCTGTCCGGGCCTAATAGCTCCATAGCATTTGCATTTATATGGCCCACTTCAGAGCAACATGATTTGGCGGCTTCGCCCTGTGATAAAACATAAACGGCCTCTTTTGGCCTTGAGTTACTGTGTGGTGATACTTGTGTTTCCCTGAAGTGTAAGGTTGGCTGAGTTTAATATGTCAGAGCTGCTTGACTTCAGACGCTGAAACAAGTGCAAAGAACCCCAAAATTGACTTTTTAAATAATTGGTCTGCAGCAAATTTGAATATTGTTGATGCAGCACTGTGGGATTCTGACCCGGGACAAGGTTCATCTGCAGCAGATCAGAGAAAGTAGACCACAGACTGGGTTTGAGGACCGGCCCGGACTGAGAGACCACATGGTATTGGTCTATAGGGAGAGACCACATGGTATTGAACCATAGGGAGAGACCACATGGTATTGAACCATAGGGAGAGACCACATGTTATTGGTCCATAGGGAGAGACCACATGGTATTGGTCCATAGAGAAAGACCACATAGTTTTGGACTATAGGGAGAGACCACATGGTATTGGTCCATAGAGAAAGACCACATAGTTTTGGACTATAGGGAGAGACCACATGGTATTGGTCCATAGAGAGAGACCACATAGTTTTGGACTACAGGGAGAGACCACATGGTATTGGACCATATAGAGAGACTACATGGTATTGGACCATAGAGAGAGATCACATGGTATTGGACCATAGGGAGACACCACATGGTATTGGACCATAGGGAGAGACCACATGGTATTGGACCATAGGCAGGGCAGTCCTCAGGTGTAGGTGGAGGAGGCCAGGTTCAGAGGTCCCGTCGTCGCATCATGAAATAAACAATGGGACAAGGGATGAATAGCAATGAACAGACTACAGTCCAAATCCTAATAATGCAGACAGATAATGAAGAGGGAGAGGAGGAGGAGAGGATAGCGCTGTTACTTCTTCTTCATGTGGAGCAGAAATCACCCGTTAATAAAGAACGTGTGCTGGGTTTGGACCGTCGTGAGGTTAGTTTTACTGTCGGTGATGTGTCTGAACAAAACAAGAAACAAATCATCTTCACACTCTGGAAACACTGTTGAAAAAAAGTCAAACATGGGGAAGATTTAGCTAATTGTATTTTCATTTACAGCTAAAGCTAATAACATCAAAGGCCAAGAATAAAATCTCTATTTTGAGATTTTCATATTTGGTGATTTTTTTCAGTGCATTAAAAGAGTGAAGATGATGCACAGATGGATTTGGTTTGAGCTGAAGCTTGTCTCACACTTTCAGGAAGACGTTTACGATTGTTTGTGTTGGTTCTGAGTATGTTTTCTGTGGGCGGCCACTGGTGCGTTGCTGATTTATGACCCCTGCAAACCTCACCCAGACCTGACAGTTCCTGCTCTACTGTCCATGAAACACTAATGATCAGAATATACAGGAGCTGGAACAGGAAGAATAAGGAAGAATATGTGATAATTAGTTATAATAAGTATAAATAAGTAATAATAAGTAATGATAAAGCTGGAACTTTTGCACATTTTGACAATTTTAAAACCATAAAGATGAATGGTATTTAAGTGACAGACAAATCAAGCAAAAAATCGAAAATTGAAAATGTATACAATTTGGGTTTGTGGCCACAGCTGCAGGTCAAAACCGGACCCTGTCAGAGCTCTGAAGCTAAGCAGGGCAGGGCCGGGTTAATACTGTGATGCCTTGGATACCTCTTGGAAGGCCAGGTGCCACATTGACACATTGAGGCAGCTGTAATGTGGCTGTAAACTGTGGTTGTGTCCTTAGGCAAGACACCTCACCTACATCAGAATGTGTGTGTGTGTGTGTGTGTGTGTCACCACAGTATTTGGAGAGAATGAATAATGACATGTGAAAAGCAACAGCCTGTCTTTGCGGGTATGACGCTACAAGATTTGCAAGATCTAGAGACAGAATATTTTTCCCCATTCCTCTTTACAAAACAACTCGAGCTCTGTCAGATCAGATGTTTCAACCTTCTCTGCTACTGTGCATCACATCAAAACATTTAAAATACTTATAATAAACTTCACTGCAGTGCAGGAGAGGATGTGTTTTGCCGTTTCCCTTGTGGCAGGTTGGCCGATTACTCCATGAAGTCGACGTTAATGATTACGAGACGCAAATTGAAAGAAATAGGGGGTATTCTCTTCTCTGCCTTGCATGGTAAGTTTTCATTTCCTTCTCCAATTAGTTTTCTCTTTTGATGTGCGCTCCAAAGACCCTCGTAAAAGTGTGGGCTGTGCTAACGCTGGAGTGGGAGTGCGTCTAAATGAGGCTTGCTCTCAGTTTGCATCATACACTGTGCACAGGTGGACAATGCTAACACGCTAGCTAACAAAACACAATAGCTTTGTCTCTGGCTCCCAAAGCTCAGTAACTGTTTGTGTCACAGTCTCCATTTTGGGCTTAAAAATCTCTGGTTTCTGGTGTTTATGTGTGTTTTTGTGATTCCAGATATGACCATATAAGGACTGACCAATCAGAGGCCTTCATTTGCGGGGATTCTCCAGCTTTTCATAGCAACAAACCAAACAAATCCCCAGTTTATTCTGTGGCTCAGAACACGGCACTTACTTGAACAAAAGTTATGACGAGAGAAGCACTCGTAGAGCACAGTCAACTGCCAGGAGGTGCTTTTAAAAAGTTCTGCACAAACAGTCATCAAACAGGGTTACGGCTAAGGTTACAGTTAGGGGGTTAGGGTTATGGGGTTAGGACTGGGCTAGGGCGAGGGTTAATGTTGGGGGTTAGGGTTAAGGGTAGGACTAGGGCTAGGATCAGGGTTGGGTTGTTTAGGGGGCTAGAGTTATGGGGTTAGTGCTGGGTTAGGGTTAGTGATAGGGTTATGGGGTTAGAGTTCGGTCATGGGGTTAGGACTAGGGCTAGGGCCAGGGTAAGCTTGCTTATCGGACTAGGGTCATTGGGTTAGGACTAGTGCGGGGTTAAAGTTATGGGGTTAGGGCCAGGGTTAGGGGGCTAGGGCTAGGTTGTTTAGCGTTATGGGGTTAGGGTCAGTGCTGGGTTAGGGTCATAGGGAGTTGGGGCTAGGCGTAAAATACTTCCTCTTTTAGTTATTGTTTTGCGATTGCTTACTGATATTTCCCGAATATTCGCATCAGTAACTCTACTTATTTGGGTCATTGATTCTAACTTCTACTTGAGTAATATAGGTTTTACTCGAGTACACGCTCCGACCCCTCCCACCTCTGCTGCTGGGACACAGTGGAAGCCTCACATTCCTCTCTCCGTGGCTTTGAAGTCCTCCGTGGGGCTGGATCTCTCGCTCTTCTGCTGTGATTAAACGACAGAGTCATAAACCGTGTGACTCCATCAGGACCCGGACCAGGCCCTG